GCCTCTGTCTCAAATGCACATGCCTGGGAGGACATGGCTAACTCAGTTACAAAATGCGGTTATGTCTTCTATCCCACAGACACCAGCACAAGTGACACTCAAACTACAGAAAGCACAACTTTTTAAATCACAGGAAAACAGTTCTCACCACCCTGTCTCAGATGATGCTGTTCAGCTGAGATGTCAGAATTATACCATTTTAAGTGTCAAATGAACAATATAAAGCTACAAAAACAGCAAGTTCAAGATTCTTCATTCTGACTTGTTAATACTATATTCAGATACTTGAATTATATCAATTACACTCTTGGTTATAATTAACAAAGTTCCCAAATGGAACAAGACAATTATCAGAAAGAATAAAAAGATAATTTGAATGATTTCACTTCATCGTATAATTCTGGTTAAAAGGCAGGAACACCTTGACTTTTCTGAGGGCACGAATACGTCTATATTTCATTATGGGCTTTTCTTTGCTATTAAAGGGGTCCCAGTCATCCATAGGTCAGCAGGTCAAGGACCTTTATCTGCACATGTCCAATTCCATGGCAGTTGCTGTAGAAGTTCAGGTTCAGTCTCTTCTCTTCCACTGTGGATCTCTCTGGGACCAGACTTCTTAAGACTCAGCTACACTATTGCAGAGGTAGGAGACAGGCTCTGGTGTCATATGGCCCTGGTTTCACTCCATCTCAACTATTCTTTGAAACCAGAGCCAGCTTCCTACAAATGCCGAGCAGTGCCACACACTAGAAGTTTCTTCTCACAAGTCTGCAGTTCAAACATCCAAAACTCAGATGATAGCCAAGTCATGCTCCCTTGAAAATGAGTTAGATCCTTCTTAGCTTCCCAAGCCCCTGCTGGTGGCCACTGATCTTCGGTGTTCCTATGTTTACAACATGTCACTCCAAGTCCTGCTGCCCTGCATGGTGTTTCACTGTGTATCTTACTCGATGGCTTCCTCTTCTTTAAAAGACATGAATCTGGATTAAGGCTCACCCTAATAATTTCATTAGCATTCTTTTAAAATATTTTGTTTTTTATTTTGTATATATGAGTGTGTTGCCTGCATGTGTGTAAGTATACCCCTGTTGGACAATGCCACAGGAGGTCAGAAGAGCAGACAAGGCCATTGCAGATCCCTGGAACTGGAGTTAGTGATGGTTATTAGCCACCATGTAGGTGCTGAAACCAAACCTAGGTCCTCTGCAAGAGCAGTCAGTGCTCTTAACTGCTGAGCCATCTCTCTAACCCCTCATATTAACTTTCTTAAACCTGCCTGAAAAGGCTCTATTTCCAAATAAGATCACATACACTTATCTTTTGAGGGAATTAAGTTCAACCCGTATCACCACCTCTGTAGACTTAAGTAAGTGACTGTCTATGACAACCGACTTTCTCACCATCAGGAGGATTGTCATGTAACCCCAGCATCTGTAAACAGCATGCAAGGTAACATGAATAACTGAACTTATTCAGTGCTCAAAAGTAAATTATTTCCCTACTCCCTTCGTCAACCCCAATTCTTAGCTTCCCAGGCTCCACAAATGAAAATCTGGTAGACTGCATGATATTTGCAAAACTAAAGGCCCTCTCCCCTGCAACAGCTTAATCCCTGTCAAAACACATAAGAATTTGTAATATAAAATGGACTCGGAATCTCATCCAGCAAAACATGGGCAGTACTGGGGGAAGAGGAAGCATTATGGCTGGATGGCTTTTCAATGGTCTGATAACAAAATTTGTGACTGGAATCCAATGTCTCAATCCAGATCCTGGGCTTAGCCTCTATTCAAACACACTGTGTAACTGCATCATCATCTCCTTTAGGCCACTGGAATCCGGTTAAACGTGACCGAAGCCTGCTCATAAGGCAGGCTGTCACTGCCGCAGCATCCTTGGGGGATGTCTACCACCTTCCAAGTAGTTCCCACACATTGAAATTCCTACTCATGAAATTCCCATGGTCCTCACACGCAGCCCACGCACCCATTTTCTCTGCTCTATTAAATCCTGAAGTGCCCACTGTGTTTTCTACAACCACCACAAAATGGCTAAGTAAAACCACAAAACCAACTTCAGTGTCTAGTGTGTAAGAAATCCCATTCTTGTTCCCTATTAAAAACAGTTAGGAGCTCTTTCAGCCATTAACAAGTTATTAATTGTATTGAGCATGGTCAAAGTGAAGCACAGAGCTCACCGTCTCGCCTCTGGCCTTTCAGCTCCCACAGCCAGCCTCTGTTGCAGCTGTTTTCCCTACACTGTCCATGAGAAGCAAGGGTCAGCCATTGCTAATGCCGATGAATTTGTTTTGACTGGTTCATGGCTGCCAAGGTTATAAAGATTCTCAGTCTGGGAAAGGTCATATACTAAGCTTTCAAGGATGGTGCTAAGGATTTAAGAAAGAAAACAGGAAGTACCTTCTACTGAAAAATTTTGGTATTATCTTGGTTAGTTGAAGCCACCCTACTAAGTCACCATAGATTGGGTGGCTATGGACAATGAAAATGATTTCTCCCAGTTCTGGAGGCTCAGAGCCCAAGGTCGAGGTACCAGTAGATCAAGTGTCTTTGACAATTTCATAGAAGGTGTCTTCTTGCTGCATCTCCAAATGGTTGGAGAGAACTCTGTTCCCTTCAGGCTTTCTGTAGGGCACTAATCCCATCCATGAGGACTCTAATACATGACTAACCAGCTTTTTAAAGCTTGGCTCCCTACAGCCATCACAATAGGGGTTAGACTTTAAGACATTAGTTTTAGGTAACACATTCAGTCTGTCAGGTGTATTGAATTTTATTTTTTAATTTTATTTATTTCTTTATATATTTTATTTTTTTATGCATTTGAGTGTATGCCTGCATGTATGTCAGTGCATCTGTGTTGTACAATGCCTGTGGAGATCAGAAGAGGACTCAGATCCTCTGGAATTGGAGCTACAGACAGTTGTTAGCCACCACGTGGGTGCTGGGAACTGAATTTGGGTCCCCTGCAAGACCAGTCACTGCTCTTAACCACTGAGTCACTTCTTCAAACCCTTATTATTTTATTTTTGAGACAGGGTATCACTATACAGCTCAGGCTGGCCTCAAACTCACTACGTGGTCCAGCCTGCTCTTGAGCCCTCTTGACTCTGCTTCTCAAATACTGAGATTACTGATGTACACCATCATGCCCAGCTAACAGGTATATTTTCTCAGATTGTGTTACTCACCAGACCCACAGTTATTGCTGCACTGCACCATATGCTTTCCCTTCAGTGTCTGCAGGACTCACTGAAAGAAAGAGATGTGTGTGAGGCCAGGATAATTCCATGGAGTGTCTGGGACTCTCATTGCCACTCAAGGGCAGATGGTAAATAAAGATACAGGAATACAATATATCTCAACTGGATTAAGGAAACTAAAAAACTTACTTTAGTAAATGTCAAATTTTCTGCAGTACACTTTAGATGAAATACTAAAGTATTGTACTGAAGATACATACTTTAAGTTTCTGCATTTTATTTCCATGGACTTGCAGAACTAGTGAGCCCAAGAACTATAGGCATGGTGCAATGGGACAGAAATACAGAGATCTTTCCATTTTCTCTCTTCTGTTCTCCTGCTCTTTTTCCTCCTCCTCTTCCCCTCCCCTTCCCCTCCCCTTCCCCCTTCTCCTCCTCTTCCCCTCCTCTTCCCCTTCCTCTTCCTCTTCTCCTTCCCATTCCTCCTCCCCTCCCCTTCCTCTTCCCCTTCCTCTTCCCCTTCTCGTCCCCTCCCCTTCCCCTTCCTCTTCCCCTCCTCTTCCCTTTCTCTTCCTCTTCATCCCCTTCTCTTTCCCCTCCTCTTCCCCTGCCTCTTCCCCTCCTCTTCCCCTTCCTCTTCCCCTTCCTCCTCCCCTCCCTTTCCCCTCCTCTTCCACTCCTCTTCCCCTCCTCTTCCCCTCCCTCTTCCCCTCCTCTTCCCCTTCCTCTTCCCCTTCTCTTCCCTTCCTCTTCCCCTTCCTCTTCCCCTTCCTCTTCCTCTTCTCCTTCCCCTTCTTTCTCCCCTCCCCTTCCTCTTCCCCTTCCTCCTCCCCTCCCTTTCTCCTCCTCTTCCACTCCTCTTCCCCTCCTCTTCCCCTCCCCTTCCCCTCCTCTTCTCCTCCCCTTCCTCTTCCTCTTCCTCCTCCTCTTCCCCTTCCTCTTCCTCCTCCTCTTCCCCTTCCCCTCCTCTTCCCCTTCCTCTTCCCCTCCCCTTCCTCTTCCCCTCCCCTTCCCCCCTTCCCCTCCTCTTCTCCTTCCTCTTCCCCTCCTCTTTCCCTCCTCTTCTCCTTCCTCTTCCCCTTACTTCAATGCACTCTTGCATATGTTTCATGCTGAATACTGTAACTGCAAAGGAAACCTTAGATTTTTAAAGACAATGCAATTTTGAAAGTCGTTTTTGGGAAAAGCTATAGGAAACGATTCCATTACTTTGTGTTTTGCGTAGGGAGGTGGAACTCAAACTACTCAGCTAATTTCTAAAATTAAAATGCCCTTTGAAAACATTTAAAATACTCAATACCTACTCTATGAGGAGGAAGCTAATCTATCTCCCCTTAAAATAAGACTTGTGAATGTTTTAATGTTTCTTCATTGTGAACTTTCATCTAAACTTACTGTCAAGTAATAAATAAAAATATGCCTGAATTTCTTAAAAGGTAAGTTTTTTTAATAAGGCCAAACCAAATATTTAAATAACAACTAATAAATTAACTTTTAGTCTCTTCCAGTTTCCTTTGAATAAATGATTTGTATCACTCTGTGACAGGGTTAAATGTAAATTGACAAATATAACTGACACATTTTAAGGATAATTTTCCCTGCAGAAGATGAGGGTTGTTCACAGTTGGCCAATGTGTGCACAGTGAATAGGATTTGGGGGGATTCCCAGATAAACAAGAGGATGCTGAGAAATGTCATCATCAGGCAGTCCAGTTGAATCTGATCACTGGCTTGGGCTTGGTAAATGCAGCCATTTCTCTTTGTTCCTATCCCCTGACAGATATGAGCCACTGGCTGATGTGCTTCTGGGTGAGGAGAAGAAGGACCAGTCTGCAGAGGAGAGGTGTCGGCTTGTTCTCCAGAGGTGTAAATTACAAGGCTGGCAGGTTGGTGACCTACAAGCTATGAAAATAGCGGGCTGGAGTTTTAAAGGCATGAGTCATAGAGATCACCACCAATCCTCCTGGCAGAAACAAATTCCTTTGATATGTTTGGCAAGGCACAGTACTCGGTGTGTTCTCTGGAAGCGTGTCATTCTATATGATTGACGGGTTTTAGCACCAGATCTCAGATCATACCTGCTACTGGAGCTTTAAAGGTATCTAAAGTGTAGTTGTGTTCGGCCCCACCCTCCCCACACCCTGTGACAAATCCTTGAGGTAAGCAATGGATAGGAAAAAAAAAAAAAGTTTCCCTTGGCTTACAGCTGCAGGCCATGGTCCAGTGGTGCCATTATGTCTGGGTTTGTGGCAAAGCTGAGCCACACCACCGTGCAAGGAACAGCAGAGAGCTGAGTGCCTCCTGGCATGGAGGGAGGGGAGAGAACCGAAGGGGAAAGGAAAAGAGGGGAAGGGAAAGAAGAGGAGAGGGGAAAGAGAGTTGGTGGGTGGCCCTGAGGAAGGAGCAGAAAGTGAGGGAGAGGACAGCGCTGTTGTCTCCAAGGGCACGCCCAACTGACCTAACCTCCTTTCACTAGGTCCATCTTTCAAGAGTCAGGCTAGGGACCAAAGCTTCAATACATGAGCCTTTAAGAGGCACTTCAAATCCAAACCATAACAGGAGCAGAGGTCACAGAACTCACAAGTGTGGTGACCTTTATTGAAAGTCCTTGCTCTAGGCCTGGGCTGCTGGGCTTGGAGAAGTTGAGTTTAGGCCCCTTTCCTCAGTTTCTCTTTGCTCTGCTTCTCACCTGCCTCACAGTGAAACTGTTGCTCTCCTTGAGCATTATTGGATGCACAAGCATCACGGCTGGGAGCTTCTCACTGTGGCCAGTGTTCCATGTGAAATGGAGTTCAGAGGCCCATGGCAGCTATCAATGGACCAGCAGAGAAAGTAGTTAAAGCAAAATAACTCAGAGCACACCCAGGAGAGATGAAGGAGCCCTTTAAACAGCAGAATAGCATCCTTAGCTAGTTTCAGGTAGAGGCTTGAGGATAGACGATAACACAAGAGTGCTGGTGACGGAATGAACTTGGGGTGAGCTCTTAGAAGGTGCAGATGGCACAGAGGGTGGTGACACAGAGCTTTGATATGACAAAACTGACTGGAAAACAGGCACAGATCTCATGTTAAAAGTTGTTAGAGCTTCTGCATATGAAAGTTTACAATGATTGATGAGCACGAAAAGAAGACTCTGCTTCAGAAACACCAGGGTAGATGGTTCCAAATCTGAGAACATGGTCTGCGAGCATCTCAGCCATAGTGGAACAGTCAGAGACCACCAGAATGTCACAGGCACACTCGTCTACGACTGAGAACAAAGAGCCCAGGATTCGCACACCACTGAGTCACGATTTCATTCGCAGTGCCACCCAAGCGCTTCCTTTGTCACCTTCCCCTTTGCTTCTTATTTAACTAATAACGGAAGTTGAACTTTTAGTCACAGTCTGAGGGAGGAAGCTTACTCATTCTGGGTTGTCATGGATGCACAGCAGTGCTGAGATTGGATTAAAAAAGGAAGGAGGGAGGAGGAATTACTTACCAAGTGTGATGTCACCTCACCACTCTGGAGCTGGGGACATTGGTGTGGGAGCCACAGAGAGTCTGCTTTATCAAGTTTGTAGATATTGAGGTCATTTCCCCTGAGTCATAGAATTTTTAAACACATAATTGCAGAGTAGTGGTTTAGGAATACTGTAATGCAAAGATTTTTAGGGTATGTATTTTTTCTTTAAAGAATGCTCACAAATAAGTGTGTGTGTGTGTGTGTGTGTGTGTGTGTGTGTGTATGTGTGTACTGAGAAATCAGGAGCATCTGGAATAAATTTCCCACTAAAGAGGTCACTGTCAGAGACAATAGCCCACCAGGGGTTCCTCCAGTACAATGCATAGGATGGTGTCAAATGTAGGTCTGTGGAGAAGGCTGTTGTGCACACCAGTGCACCCTGGCAGCTGTCAGTCCTTCCAGATCTGTGTCTGGGCAGGGGGATTCTTAAAGTATCATATGGGAACAGTATAAAATTGAAACATACATTAGTACTTTGGAAAAAGGACATCAATTTTCGTTTTCCTCCTTTGAGATTCACTATGCAGCCCCAGCTGGTCTGGAGCCCATTATGTACATATGTAGTTCAGGCCAGCCTCAAACTCAGAGAGATCCACCTGCCTATCCTCCAGAGTGCTAGATTAAAGGTGTGTGCCACCAACTCCTGGCATAAAATGTTTTCTAATGGGGAGGAACTTAAATCCATGCTCTTCTTGCTTGTTTGTATCTATCCAAGAAACTTGAAAATACAAGAGAGAGGGAAAGGAATGAGGGGAAAGGGTGCTACATTTTTTTTCTGAGTATATCTGCCAATGTGTTCTGTGTCACCTGGTTAGGGAAGACTGCTTTTCTTCAGCTTTGCCAAGGTAGAACTTTTTATATTCTTTATACTACAAGATGAATAGTTGACTTCACAGAAGTAAAGCTTGTTTATATTTCACCTTTAAGTTAAACAGCAAAATAATTTGTGTTAAAAACACAATTATTCCTGACATGGTAAGTCAGAATCCTCATTTTCAAAAGCAAAGCATTTGTTCAAAATGTGCTGTTACAGTGAGTGCTGCTGTTAATTCTCTTCTAAGTTATGAATCAGTCCAAATATTAAGTACAGAGCTGTTTGACAGAAATGCTACGGAGGTGGCTCATACACCTGTGGATTATTTACATATTTCCAGGGGTGCAGTATTTTTTTATTAATCAGTTAACATTCATCCTTGGGCCCTGAATGGTTAGTCGTCAATTAATAGTTATTTTTCCACATTTTTGAAAAGAATACTAGAGGATTTGGAGTCACTTTTAACCACATGAACCTGTGTAAGGTGTTAGTTAGGAATTCAACTCTGTTCACACAGCTATCAGTATTTTTATTTACGTGTACATGTGTATGTATGTGTGAGTGTATGTCACTTGTGTGCAGGTGCCCAGGGAGACCAGAAGAAAGCATCAGATCTCCTGGAGCTGGAATTGCAAAGGTTGTTAGGTGCCTGATATGGGTGCTGGGAACTGAACCAAGGTCCTCCTCAGGAGCAGCAAGTGCTCTTAACAGTTGAGCCATCTTGCCAGCCCCCAAAAGATCCTTGTATTGTCACCAGAATGGGTCTTGGAAACCTAGTGGCTTCCATCAACTGTCTTTCACTTTGACAAGACCTGGGGTAGTTGGCCTTAAATCCTCAGAGTGAGACTCTAGCCCCAGACTGCTGTGTTCTTCCATGCTGTAGAAGTGTGCTGTGTCAGTTGAGGGTAGAAAGGTCCTGTCTTTGGGACTATTAGGCTTGATGCTTGAGAGAAGAGGACAGAAGGAAGGGAAGAAGGGATGCTGGGAGGGAGGCAAAGAGGAACAAATACATAATTTATTCCTTGGTAAGCAAAGGTTTGGGGCTGAGAGAGTAAATAAGCGCCCCTTTCATCTTTAAGGTGTGAGTCAGTGACTCAGGGCCTTTTCCTCACTTACTGACTTTGAGCCTAATAAGTTCATGGAGAAAGAGGAAAGAGGCAAACTCACATGGGATGTCAGGGCAGTGAACCTCAGAGAGCTGGTGTGAGGAATATGCATACTGGTTAAAATAGTAGCTGTTTTCATATTTCGTTCCCCAGGAAGTCTGCTTCTCTGAGGCCACCCTGGACTCTGCCTCTGCCGTGTTCTTACCACTGTGTTGAGCTTGATCACTGCCTTTTAATATAGCTATAGAGTCATTTCCTCAGATTTTCAAATTTGAAAGGGATAGATTATGCATAACAGCGTAGCTCTGACCACAGGCACTTCTGTATTCCTTTACTAATGAACAGCCTGTCCCTTGTAATTGGTGTCTTTTCTGTGTTTATAATTCACTGGGCAGATGAGAGAAAAACAAGTGACCACTTCCTATTGCAGGCTGACTGAAGAAGTCCTTTGTACCAGCACTGTCAGCCTCTAGTCCTGTAGTAGCTCTGTGACTTTGAGACCTGCTGCTGCTCTGTTTTGGGAAGAAGAGATTGAGAAGGCAGAGAAGAAGGGCTGCTACCCAGTGGGTCTGAGATCAACTCTAGTCTGAGGAAGTGATGGGGAAGGAACCATCCACAGTAGATGTGCAAGTCAAAGTCGAGTAGCCTCATATCATCTTCTTTGAGCAAAGCCAGTGCAGAAGCCTTGTACCCCACTATGGTTGTAGATTCTCCCTTCCTCAAGGGTGCTGGGCTTTGCTCAAAGGCCAATCCCCAGCAAGATGGTCCATAACTTTTAAAGCTTCCTTTTCCATGCCCGATATCCCCATTTCTTATTCTGTTCCTCTCCCCTGTGTCTCCCCCAACATTCCTCAGAGGACTTCCCCACAGCTGTGGCTACCTCTCCACTCACATGTCAGCTGCCCCCGTAGGGTCCTGTGGCTGCCATGTGGTGAGACAAGATGCAGGGCATAGATCTGTCTCAATGCTTGACTAAGAGACGTGTCTCTGTAACCAGGAAACCACCAACAATGCTAGATATTTTATATAGACACAGAGACATACAGAAATTTTGAAATTGGGTATAACTCATAAAAGAAACCTCACAGATAATGTTTAAAGAGTTGTTTTAGATAAAGGTCGAGTGTGGTTTTTGCATTCTATTTATGCTTATAAGACTATGTCTGTGATGAAATATAATTTTCAAACTTAAAAATGCTGCCTGCCTAACTATAGTTTAGGTGTAGAGTACTGAAAACAGGCCCAAATTAATTATTTTGAACATTTGTGTCAGAATCATAGGCCACATGGTTTTGTTCCAAAACATTTTGGCTTCCCAATACATCATAATCATCATGTCTTCGCATATTTAGCCCCTTGCATCACAAAAAGAAATCTAGCCCTCTTTCACACAATTTCAACTGGTAAGGTTTTGGCAAAGTCACCCATGATACTGTTTCCTTACACTCAAAATGCCTTTAT